TAAAGATTTTATTTATTTATTTGACAGAGAGAGAGGCAGCGAGAGAGGGAACACAAGCAAGGGGAGTGTGAGAGGGAGAAGCAGGCTTCCCGCGGAGCTGGGAGCCCGATGCGGGGCTTGATCCCAGGACCCCGGGATCATGACCTGAGCTGAAGGCAGACGCTTAAGGGCTGAGCCACCCAGGCGCCCTGAGAGCACAAAATCTTATTTCCCCTTTGAAGAGAAGCCTTCCTTGCTCCCTCTCTGATACTAGACTTCATCAGGAAAATTACAGAAAGAGTGCAGGGGTGTAAGAAACTTTCCAGTCTAGCCCTCCACAGACCAAGTTCCAAAGATTGAAGGGGGAAGGTACCCTGTTCAAGTGACAGAAATGCTAGGACTGCCAAGTCAAAAGAGATCTGCAAGAGAGGACATGGTATGGAATCTGTTTCTTCCTCTTCAACCATTTCCCAAAAGTAGGGTTCCACAGAAACACTTTAGGAAAAGCTGTTCTGGGCCCATCTGCTCATTTCCCTCATTTGACAAGAGACAGATTAATAAGCCACACAGCTAGTTACGGCAGGGCCAAGAGTAAAACACTACTTCATTATTCGTTTCTACTCTTCCTCTCACCCAGAGAGTGGCCCCAAACAAGGGAGTGTGCAATAATTTTAACCTGGTCCACTTGTTAAAAAATGCAGATACCTGAGTCTCCCTGCCCTGTTCACGTTTAGCAGGCCAGGGGCTGGCTCCAGAAGTGATTCTAATGGCAGCCAGAGTCAAGCAGCTTGGAAGCAGGTATCCCTAGAGCACTCTATGGAACACCCAACTATGAAAGCCTTCCTAGGCCTCTTCCTGTCTGTCAAAATATCAGGAGATGGGATATAGGTGTGATGACTGTAATAGGGTCATTTCTAATAGGCAACAGTGCACGTGAGCCTTTTCTATTTCTGACTTTCTGTAAGGAGTCTGATAGTTGCTCCAATTTCGTTTGTCAAGAAACTGCCATCTGAACCCTGGCAACCAAACCTCCCTTGGAAAGGAAAGTTTCAGTCTTCTGATCACAGTCTTTGTTCCTAAAATATCACTTGCGGAATGCAGAGCGCTTTCTTTCAGGATTTCCCCCACAGTCAAGTCTAAACTGTACTTAGAACTTGAGGTTTACAGTGAATTCATTTAAAATTAGTAAGTTGCAGTACTTACAACACAGGTGACGGAAGGTTTGACCGTGCAGTCAAAGGTGACAGGCTTGCCATAGACACAGGAGAAGTTTGTCTTGCATTCTACACAGTCTGCAGGAAGTCTGCTACACAAACCATTACTTGGACACTTCATCACATAAGGTGGGATATCAGTACTTTCTGTGAAAAGAGGGATGCTTATTCTAATATTGATCAGCATCACAGGAGAAAACAATTTCCTGAGGGTAAGGGACACGATTGCCAGCGATGAAATGCTGCACTGGAATGGAAAATGACAGGGCTGGAATCAGAGACACCTGCAATTAAAGCAAGGTTCTGCCACCAACCTGTGTGACCTGGTCCAAGAGTTCAACAGCTAAGTAAAAAGAATTTAATTACTGCCCCCCAAATGAGCATGAAAATCAAAGGTACTTATGTACATACAATGTATACACAAAGCTAGGTGTAAGTTTGGGCCTCAAAAAAATCTACTCTGTAACAAGATGAAAAATTAGGGCTTAGAGAGGGTAAGATTTGTTCATGATCACAGAGTGACAAAACTGGAACCACGACCCAAATCTCTGTTTCTAATCCAATATTCTTTTCATCTGAATTCATTGATTTGGTAATTACAACACTGACCCTCCAACTGTATCAATCAGTACAATAGGGTACCAACTATAGAAAATGTTCTCTGTCATTATTCCACACCGGTACTTCAAAAAGCCATAATTTGCTAGTACCACTTACAGTTTTATACTACCAAAGTTCAACATAGTTCTCCATATTAATAGCTTGTTTGGTGGGTTATAATTTTTTTCCCAGCCAACCTTCCCAGGAGTACAATATATTTTTATCAATTAACAGAGGCTCATTTGCAAGTATACTTGGGGGAGGAAGAGACGCTTTCAATAACATCCAAGAGAATAAAAAATTCTTGTGCTTTCTCTATAATTTGTGTTTTAAATTCAAGTATGCTCCTGTCTTGTAGTAGTCTTAACATCCAAAGAACAATCAGTAAAATACCTCTGCCAGTTTCAATTCATTGAAATAATGGAACTTTAAAGGGATGAACTATAGAGACAAAGGTTCTGTTTAGCAAAACACACTAAGACTCATTTAAAACTGATCCTACCTAAAGTCACTGGATTATGTAATCAATTCTACTTTTCTTTTATTCTGATTACTCTTGTGGCTGGAAGTTGGACACTTCGAAATCACAAAGCCAAAATGATTTTAGAGGGCCAGGCTAACTTCACCACCTTAAAGATGAGGAAAGTGATGCTGAAGGGGTGAATAATTTGCTCAAGCTCCCAGTAGCTCAACCAGACCTACTGTCCAAGTCTTAATCTGTCTGTGATCCTTCCATTTCACACAGCGCTGGGAGGAGCCTCTAATGTCCAACATCAGGAATGGGGCTTAAGAAGAAAAAGAAAATTTCTGAAGGAAAAGAAGCACTGGTTGAAGGTGATCTTGATGAACGAGGTGGAAAAATAATAAAGAGACAGAAATGAGGAATGTGGAACTGGAAAAAGAGATGAGGCTGGAATTGGTACTGCAATATCAAGACAGTCTACAGAAAAACATCTGTGTATCTGTCTTTAGTTCACATAACCTAAAATACAATAAAAATTTCAAAAAAAATTGTAAAGTTATTTTATCTAAAAAAAGAAGAAAGAAACCACTAGATATAAATACACACATTTACTAGAATAGAAAATGTCTAGTACCTGCTGCCCTGGGAACTACTGTGAAAGTACGTGTTGGGCCCGGATCCTTTATTGACTGAGCCAGCGGCTGCGACTGCTCTAAATTTAAGGATCCTACAATTAGAGAAACATGTTATCCTGGGATATGAAAACCTTGGTTTGTGTGGTTAAGACGCAAGGTCCACACCAGGCCAATAAATGCGCATGAAAACATCACAGCTTGACTGCCCAGAAAACTAAACAAAGAAACGCCAATGGGGTCGACACCAATGTGGATCGACAGGCAACTAGGGAACAAAGCGTGGTCTCGGGTTCCAGGTCCGCTTCCCCGGCCGAGACCCCAACCCTCGGTCACCCGCTCCAGGGCTCATCAGCCGCGCTCGGAGGCTCTGGGGTTCTTGAGAGGAGGGGCGGCCGCGGAGCGGGCGGTCAGGAACCCCCAGACCCGGCTGCAGAGACCTGCTGCCCCGCGCCCGGCACTCAGCCTCCGCCCTCCGCCCGCGGGCCTAGCGCGGACGCTTCCCGTAGCTCCCGGGGGCCTCGCTACCGCTCAGCCCGACCCCGCGTGGACCCCGGCCTTTAACTCACCCCCGCCAGACAAGATATAGAACTGGAAGAGGAAGAGCAACACCCGGCAGAGGCGGCGCAGGATCCGCAGCGGGACCGCCGCAGCCGCCATGTCGCCGGCGCGCGCACTTCCGGCCCGCGAGGCGGGACTAGGCAGAGGAGCGGGGCGCCGGCGCGCGCCGTAGGGGCGTGTGCAGGCGCGTCCCCGGGGAGCCCAGGGCGCAGGCGCGGGCCGGCTCCGCGTGGGTTCTGCAGAACCTCGCGGGCCGCCCTCCCCGTTGCTGGGGTGGCCGCCCTCCCCGTTGCTGGGGTGGACGTGGGGTGGCCGCGACCTGTGAGGTTGTTTGGTTTCCCAGATTTCCCCACGGACGAGGCGCTCACTTCTCCTTCCATGGCTAGCGACCGGGAAGGGTCACCGGGACCGAAATTCACACCTGAAGTGGCTGCAATCAGAGGCGGGCAGGTTGGGGAAGTTGGCCATCATCTCTATGTGGATGGATATGTATGTTTAGAGGTTAAAAACTGCTCGGTACTCTGCGAAGGTGTTGATGACGTATTTGATTGCATACCGAAAAGGTACTTATTTGCAAATGAGGAAACTGTGGCACAAACCCAGTAGGGGAAGTGACACCCCACGCCAAGGTGTGACAGGCAGCCTCAAAGGACGCCACCCTTTCCTGCGTTGCTGATCTGATCAGTGCCCAGCTAGCATCTCTGTGTGGTCAGCTTTGGGTTCACCTTTAACCAACTCTTTAAGGACACTCCAGAAAGTTCCTTTGAGATTGGGAGAGGGCAGTAAATATACCTGGCAAGTATTCAGGTCCAGGAGTATTGGGACAAGAACCCTGGGATGTGAAAGGGGGGTCCAAAGCATGGGCCCCTCCCTGGAGAAGGCCAGCCTTGGGGAGGGGAGCTGCACCCCCGGGCCTCTGGCTCCCTGTGTGCTCAGATGGCAGACTGCACCTATTTTTGTCACAGCATACTTTCTCCTGTGTTGTTGATGTGCGTTCCTCCTTCCCACCCACCTGCCACAAGATTCTTTTGGGGGCTTTCTGACTCCCCACTCCTTCACTAGCAGTTCTGATGAAAGAAAAGAATATACCGAATGGTGTCTGGCACACAATAAGACCTCAATAAATATTACCTTAAAAATTACATCACACAATTTGCACCTCTTAGTACTATACAGGTCTGATACATAATACAGTTTTGTTTACTAACTGTTCAGGATGCTAATAAAGATGTTGAGAAGAGAGAGCATGTCTTAAATTTATTTTGAATTCCACAGCATCTAGCCATATAACACCCAATAAATACTTCTTGATTGGTAGCTAAATTCTCTACTGGCATAAAGCTATTTCAATTCGGTTCTGAGCAGTAAGGCGTTCCTCTCAGTTAAAATCAGAAATCCATTTGAATTGTGAAACTGAATAAAGGGAACCTCATTTAAGATGGAGCCAGGAGGCCAGAAGGGGGAGCTCTCATGCCCTACCACTCCTAATGGACTACAGAATTGTACTCCAAGAGAGGCACCTTGCATTCCCAACAGGAAGAACCTCTACTTTATTACCCCAGCAAAAAGAAGAAAGATTTTCTCTTTGCCTGGGGATGGTCCAGCCAATGAGAAACTGTCACAACCCAGCCAATGAAAAGCCGCTACACTTCAACTCCCAGTTTACTCCAGTGGACTTTTTGTTTATAACAGCCCTTCCAAACTCGCTCCTGCCCCCTTTATAAAAAAGCAGCCCCCTCTCCTTTTTTCTCCAGACTTGTCTATGGTTTTGTGATAGCTTACATGTCTCAAATTAAAATTATCTGCTATTCCCGAATGAATCCATTTTGGCTGGTAAAATAATGGACAGTTTTATTTTTAAGGTTAACAGAGTCTGTAAATCAGTAGAATGTCATCTCATGAAAAAAGTAATTTAACTCTAGGGGAGCAGCTTACTGTGGTATAAGCCCATAACTGAAATACTGGAAACACTGTGTGTTGTCTTTTATTTAGGAATTTATTTTTTCTACAGATGAACAGTTGTCAATTAGAAGCATTAAAACAGCAACTCTTAACCTACACCGCAAACAACAGTAGATTCCACAATACTGAATTTGAGGTTCTGAGTCCTTTGTCAATAATCCAGTATTTAGTACTAGTCGCTTCTTTTGTGGCTGTTGGTTAATTAAAACAAATTAAGTGACGATTCCAATTTTGGAGATAACGTTTCAGTGTGAACTTTAGTAAAACAATCATAAAAATACCTGAGATGTATTGTCCTAGAAAATAAGATTTTCCCTTATATTTAAACAAGCTTTGCAGGTTTTAATCTGAAGTCTATCTTTTGAAAACCACAATCTCAGCAATAACCTCTCCAAATCTTCATATCCTAGTATTTCCCTCTTTCAATAAATAACATTTCCCACTTAAGTCTTTCAAGGCATTTGGGAAATTAAAAATCTCCCAAGCTTGTCCTTGTATTCTCTTCAGACACATTAATGAACTAAACTTTTTATATCAGCTAATTATTGTCTCCTTTCTCACTGTGCCCATCAGTGAGTTAAAAGTTCTTAGAAGTACTAGCGATAAAGAAAAATGCATTTTTAGGGGTCAAAACAAGGTTACATAGAAGCAAGTACAAGGAAGAACTTCAAAAGTCTTCCTCAGCATTTAGTGTACGTGATTTCTTGAGATTCTTCAACTTATCAATGGCAGAAGTTACAGAAATCTCTCCATGAATTTTGTTGTCTCTTGTTCGAACATTTACAGCATTATTTGTCTTTTCCTTTTCTCCAACCACTGTGGAAAAGAAAGGGTAATAAACATATCTTAAATAAGTGATTTACTAAATATTAAGTCAATAGTCATATGACACATGTCTTGAGTTCTTCTTCAGTATTAATCACTAATTATTAATCTAATGGCCATGAAGTCAGCCTGACAGTAAATTTCTTGAGAGAAGGAATGACTTCTAATCCCCTCTTCCTTATTGTCCACTTGCACAAACACATATTGTAGTCTTGGGGCACAAACTGGAGCAGGGAGAAAGGTCTCCCTGACTCCATATGCCATATGGCATATGGGTATGACAGACCCCCTGACTCCATATGGCAATATGGGTAGGCACCAGACCCATGCCCAACCAGACAATCAAAATTTTCTGGAAAGTAGGTAGAAAGTTTCTCTCTAGTGCCCCTTACTGTGGGATGATGCAGCAATCTGCAGGCTTGTTTCTTGCCATGTGGAAGGAAGAAATTGGTCACCAGGTAAGGGGAATAAAGTAGATATTCAAGAGAAGCACAAAGAACCAGAGCAAAGTAGGAGCTAGAAATGAGGAGAAACAGGGGCGCCTGGGTGGCTCAGTTGGTTAAGCGACTGCCTTCGGCTCAGGTCATGATCCTGGAGTCCCTGGATCGAGTCCCTGGATCGAGTCCCT